GCACTGGCTTCCTGTCCAACAAAGAATTGACTTTAAAATCCTGCTGTTGGTTTATAAAGCACTGAATGGTTTAGGGCCAAAACACATCTCTGATCTGCTGCTACCTTATGAACCATCCCGACCCCTTAGGTCGTCTGGGACCGGTCTACTTTCTGTTCCCACAGTCAGAACTAAACATGGAGAAGCAGCGTTCAGTTGTTCTGCTCCACATATCTGGAACAAAGTCCCAGAAAGCTGCAGGTCTGCTGAGACCCTCAGCTCCTTTAAATCAAGACTGAAGACTTTTCTGTTTGCTGCTGCCTTTAATTGAACCGCATTCAAGGATTAATCAATTTCTGCATTTTACTACTGTATTTTATTTCTTACACTGCTTTTTAGTGTTTTAATGAATGTTTTTAATGTTTCAATTAATGTTCATAATTGTTTTTAAATCTCCTTTTCTTTTGCCTTATGTTTTGATGCTTTTAATGGTTTTATGTGAAGCACTTTGAATTACCTTGTTGTTGAAATGTGCGATACAAATAAACTAGCCTTGCCTCACATCTTAACAGATCCCAGCCCTCCCTGGTCCAGTCCTCGTCCCTGCTAAGAGGACATAACAAGGCTAACAGATGTCTACACAGGATTTAAGACTTGAGACTAGAAACAGACGCCCTCCCCAAACCAAGAGAGGAGGAATCTTGATTTCAACAGCAAATTCACAGTCAGAACTGCTGGTCTAACAGCTCAACATTTGAACATATCCAGTCAGAATGGAGAGTTTTTATAAACAACCAGTGTTCTGAATCAGAGTATTCACAATCACAGACAAAAACATTTCTTTTGATTAAAGTCACCCCGTTGTGGTCACCTAGACTAAAATAGTAGCACAATACAAAACAAGCTCCTTTAGACTTATTTAGCAGTAAAAAGATAAAGCTTGTGATATTCTATGTTTTCCTTGTTACTAATCCAATGAAAAAAAACAAAGCCAGCAATGAACTGATCCACTAACAAGTATTCACAGTCTGTATCCAGAATCTGATCAATCTTTTCCCTCTATGTAGAACTGAATGTCAGGATTTAGCTGTGATGTTGCAAATGTCCCACATGTGTTCAAAGCATAATTTGTGCAGTGAAAGAGGAAGTGGAATACCCTTCATGTCTTACTGCATAGCAATGAGTGACAGGGGTCCCATGGCTCAGAGAGGGCTGCATGCAAAAGTTCTGTAGAAGCACATATCTTGCTTCCGTGAACATACGATGTGAATTGTCTACTCTACCTGACAATGAGACATGCGGCGACGTTGGTACAGTCCGCTCCTGTCAGGTCCTCTGGCTGTGAGAAGGGGTGACAGGGGCTGAAGGACAGCAGGGTCTCTGCACCGACCTCCAGCTTCTCTGCTGACACGGGCTTCAAACGGCCGAGGAAACCCTCTGCATCTCCCATCGCCTTCAGGTTTATCACCCCGCTCCCATCCTTCATGATACATTTGCAGTTGTTCACTTTGAAGCAGCCCGACTTCTTAGCGGACCTTGGATGAGGGGAGAGCAATGAGGAAAACGTGTTGAAACAGACTAAGAGCGTGATGAGGACAGTCTGAAGACTCATGGTGTGAGTGTGCACCAGTGCACAGGGCAGTGGCAAGCTGTGTGTTGTTAGGTAACCATAGAGCATCTGACAGCTTGGTGATGGTAGGAAAGTAATTAGAGTAAAGGTGATTGCCATTCCGAGCATTCCAGAGGCCCACCATGCTCAGATCAGTGTCTTTCCAATTGCAGCAAAACACAGGCAGCAGGTCACAGGTCATCCAGAGAAACCAGGATACAGGTCCCGGAAAAACCTGATGCTCTTGAGTTCTGCAAATATCATTTGGCTGTGCTGTGAGAACCACAAAGACAGTTCCATTCAGACGTCTTAAAACTAGGACAAATACAAGTGAACTATCTTTGGGTGAACTGATTCTCAAATTGATTATGAGATTTATCTTAAATGCAAATCATCTAGTCTTATACATGATAATGATACCCACATATTTGACCCAGAAACAACAAACAGTAAAGCAATCCAGAGACGACAATCAGAGATACTCACAAGTCTCTGAGCTAGAGTCCAAGTCATGTCTTGAGTCTCTGAGCTAGAGTCCAAGTCAAGTCTCAAGTCTCTGAGCTAGAGTCCAAGTCAAGTCTCTGAGATAGAGTCCAAATCGAGTTTCAAATCTTTGAACTAGTCCAATTTAAGTCTTAAGTCTCAGAGCTTGTGTCTGAACTAGAGTCCAAGTCAAGTTTTAAGTCTTTAGACTAGTGCAAGTCCAAGTCTCTTCTGGTTGTAATGAACGTTTGCCATCTGGTCTGCTTAGAACACTGCAAAGCTTTGTGTCAGGAATTCAAAGCACATACTGTATCGCTCCGTTACCATTAGCATACAGTATCAGCATTGATTTAGTTGGTAAATGATCGATGCAATATAAAAAGAACACACAATTAAAAAGTAAATAACTGTATTTTGCCCCAAAAAATGGATATTAACTAACTTTACTCAGGATAACAGGAAAATATTTCTAACATTAAGCGTGCAATAATACCTATAACACGTTTTCAATAACAGTTAGCATACTACCGTATTGTATAATTATACTGGTTCTCCAGCTGATGACAGTTTACAAGCTACTATAATTTAACACTTCTAGCCTCTAAACCACAGAGATGCTCACAAGTCATTTTGGTCCAAGTCACGGTCTCTGACAACATTAGACGTCTGCAAGTTCTGATACTTCTTGTAGTGATACTACGGCATTGTTGGAATCTATTGTAACACAATCTCTTGTAACACTATTTTCTCGTAATGCAGTTATCAGTTACATCCTTTTCATCCCCATTTACTCTGCTCTCCCCCCTAACCCTGTGCATGTGCCTCACCACAGCTTTAACCCTCCTGTTATGTTGCGGGTCAAATTGACCCGTTTCAAAGTTTGAAAATCTAGAAAAAATATTTTAAAGTACTTTTTCTGTATGAAACTTCTTCTGCTTGCCTTAATTAGTGTGCCTTAAAAAAATGTGGTTCATATCATGTATTTGCAACCACCCCCTGAAGGTTTATATTACAGAGATGATGTTCGGGTCAATTTGACCTGGCAGTGAAAGTGGAGGCTATAAGGGGTCAGAAGGGTCAAGTTTAGACCATTTATTTCTTTGAAAATGTGAGACAAAGTATTTCTTACTCCCTCCCACCATATTTCATCCCAATCTCACACACACACACACACACACACAATATTTCATCCCAATCTCACACACACACACACACACAATATTTCATCCCAATCTCACACACACACACACACTCTTTCTCACTACCCCATCTGTGCGAGAATTACAGATACTATTTTGACTTTGAAGGGAACCTTTTATTTTCCCGCGGGAAAACTCCGCCCACACTTAGCAGGAGAGGGGCGAAACATACAGAATGGTTGCTTGGGAGTCCAACATTACACTCTGCAGATACATACAACACAGCAGCTTACTCGGACAACATGAGCAACAGAAACAAAAGGAGGACAGCCCTGGAGGCTCTGGAGCACATCCTTGATCACGACAGTGAAAAAGAGGAGGATGCGTCTGAAGATGAAGACCATCTTGAGGTCAATTCAGATTATAATGGTGCTGATTATGAACCATCAGATGAGGAAACTGATATACCTGTTCCTCCAAGCGAGACATTCATGTCAAAAAATTGTGAAGTACAGTGGTCATCCTCACCCAATACACATCAGCCAAGACTGTCTGCCGAAAATATGATAAAGACAGTGCCAACATGTATTTGCACAAAGCACACCGTGACGACATGTCAGTCATGTGCTGTGTAGACACAGATACACAGACAAACGCATAGAAACACACACACACACCTCGTTCATTGTGCTCATCTCTTGTTCATTTTTGTAAATGTCTGTTTCTTAACACTATAAGTAAACATTAGTAAAGTTTACTTTCAATACAAATCCTGATGACTCATTTGGCTTGATTTTGAGTGAGCGGGTCAATATGACCCTGAACAGCAGAGGTGTCTCATCTCTATTTATCTACATCACCCCATGAAAAAAAGAAAGTTTCAAAATGCAAACAAAATTTAGAAAACAGTACATGTTATGGTAGACTAATGCAATTTATATCTAGGTTTTTCCAATGTACCTAAAAAATAGTTTGAACATGTATTTTTCATGAAAATGAGTGAGTTATCCTAATTGAACTCTGATCTATGGAGGGGTGAATAACTCCATTCCACTAAATACTGATTGAATTATTAGTGATGGGGTACAAACTATTTATTATTATTTTGGTTTCTGACAACTTTTGGATGATTAAACATGCACCGGGTCACATTGAGCCGAGAACATCATTGCTGTACCCGAGAAACGAACATAACAGGAGGGTTTATATAGCAGATGAGACACTTGCGTGTGTATTCACAAATCTACAGTGATACCGACTATCAAAACCCTGACTAACAGGCTGAGGAATAGCTTTTCCACAGAGCGGTTTCCTGCTTCAACCCCCACCACCCAGCTCACACCGGACATTACTGCAGAAACAAAAATAGGCAATAAAACACTTTAACAAAGCACTTTTTGTCACGTACAGCCATTGATGCCTGTGTTTTATCTTGTATATATTTATTTAATGTCTTGTCTCAATATTTTTATACATTTTTTACATTGTTGCTGCTGAACTGACTGATGAGTCGCCAACTTAATTTCTTTTTACGACTGTTGTAAAATATATAGATATATAGATGGATAGATATAGATAGACGTTTCACTGCAACATTTTGCAATAACATAATACAGCACAAGACTTTAATGATTTGGTTGGGACTAAAGTTGTCAACATTTCTCAGGTCAACTCTGTTGATAGAGAAACCGTTATGCATTATTATTTTCTTTGTAGATAAAATGATGAAAGTAGCCATGATAACATTTGTGAAAAAAAAACAATTAAAAAAAAAAAATCTACACAAAGCATTTTGTCTTTAACAGATTTTATTTGGTCAATAGAAAGAGCCTCTAAGCTTTGACTGCAAATTTGCGGATGGAGTAGAGGAGGTCTTTCCTCTGCTGTTTCTTGGTCCGCAGACTCTCCTCATGCTTGTTGAGTCGGCGGCGCAGAGCTCGGGTCTTCTTGGGTCTCAGATCCAGGGGCTTGTACTTCTTACCCTGCAACAAAATAAATGAACCTTTAGTTAGAATGAAAAGTGACAAAAGTGAAGGACTGGCATCAGAAGTCATTAATTGGCTCATTTGTCGTTATTTTTGTGAATTAGCAACCCCAGTAAACGGCCATATCAAAATAATATCTCAATCGGGATCGTTTCATCCGTCATGAGGAACACTCGGCTCATCAAGTCTCAGTCTTTTGGTAAGCAGTTGTGAATGCATCAGCAGATCATCAGCTCAACAAGTATCATCTTGGACTAGAGAACCACACAGTCTCCATGCATGCTCACTGAGGAGGACTACAGGCAGCTGGTGCTCTCACCTTGTAGAACTTCCTCAGGTTCTCCTTCTGTGTCTGGTTGATTACAGTCAGGACTCTGGCGATGGATTTGCGGACAACGCGGCTGCAGTGAACAAAACATCAAAGAAAGACACTTTATGCAAAGCACACTTTAACACACTCAGCATGCAGCTGCATAGCGATCATATCACGTTAATCACAATCGGTGAGAACACTGTTCTACACATCTTAACAATGCTGTGTCATCGCTTTAGTTCAGACAGAGGTAATAACTCATAGTTAACGAACAGGCTCGAGCTCCTCACCTTGCTGTCTCGCGCTGCTCTGCTGGAAAGGCCGGATGTACCGCGTGCTCTGCATATATAGCTTCAGGAGAAGTTCTTCTTCGTCGCTTAAAGTTTCACTTCGACGTCACACTAACAGCACCACTGATTGGTGGAGCGTGGAACAGCAAAAGGAAACAACGCAAACTAATAAACGAGCAGCCTCTTCTCTTCCTGTTGATTTGTAGTTGTTCCTCGCGGTGAACGGAAGAGAACCGCGATACACAGCATCCAGATTCAGACTCCCCCTCTTCCACATTGTGTTATGTTGCAACTGAACTGTCCCCTCATCAATTTGCACAAGATCTAAACTTAACAGTAAAGCAAAACACCGACCTTTTGATTTATTATGACCTCATAATTAGATTAGAATACCCTTTTCTTAGTTCTGTGTCCTTTGAGTATATCATTCTAATATATTTCATGATTGTATGACTTTTCCAGTGATTTTGTGTAAATCTGTATCATTCTTGACTTTTAAAATTGCGTGATTTGATACAGACTGCTGCTTTACATGGTACTATATATATACCGATGATCCAATGGACTCATGCTACATGAACTCAAGAAAGGCAGCGTTCTAGTGGTGCTAGTCTCTGAAAGAGATAATATCTACTTGTGGGACTCAGCAAGATGTGCATTTGTTTAAAAACTGTTTACAATCAAATTAATTTACCTCAGGTGACTCCAATCAATTTAAAGAAACATCTCAAAGATGATCAAAATGGTTAGCACCTGTGCTACATTCCAAACGCCATAGCAGCAGGCCTGAATACTTACGTCGGTGTGATATTCAGTTCAATATTTTTAATACATTTGCAAAAGTACGAGGTAATAAGGATTTTAAACGATTTTAGCATGAGGCTGCAACATAATAAAAGAAAAGGTGGGGGTCATCACAATATGGGAATTTGTATTTTGTATATTCTCTACATTTTGCTATCAAATGTTTTCACCCAAACTGAAAAACAAACAGAGAAAATAGGCTATTATACATATCAGCAACACACACAAAGTCAAACCTTTCAATACCATACTAACAAATGTATTGCTAAAACTGCAAATGAACGTGGTATTACAATAAATAAAACGAGACATTCTTATTTTAGTATTTGCATGGTGGTGCATTGGTTAGCGCCGTCGCCTCACAGCAAGAAGGTTGTGAGTTGGAACCTGCCTTTCTGTGTGGAGTCTGCAGGTTCTCCCTGAGTGCTCTGAAGGGTGTTCTCTGGGTGCTCTGAAGGGTGTTCTCTGAAGGGTGTTCTCTGGGTGCTCTCTGAAGGGTGTTCTCTGGG